GCTGAACCTGAACCTGAGCCTAAACCTGAGCCTAAACCTGACCCTGACCCTAAACCTGACCCTGACCCTAAACCTGAACCTGAGCCTAAACCTGAGCCTCTGCGGCCACAGGTACAGCTGGCCATTGGTGACCATTAGTGACAATTAGTGACAATTAATGACAATTAGTGACCATTAGTGACCATTAGTGACCATTAGTGACCATTGGTGACCGTTAGTGACCATTAGTGACCATTGGTGACAATTAGTGACAATTAATGAAAATTAGTGACCATTAGTGACCATTAGTGATCATTGCTGATAATTACTGACCATTGGTGACCATTAGTGACCATTAGTGACCAGTGCTGACCCCAGCCCATCCCAGTGGCACTGACCCATGGCCAGACCGTGCCCCAGTGCCCCCCAGTTCCTCCCAGTTCATTCCAGTGCCCCCCAGTGCCCCCCCCAGTCCCTCCCATCCCTGGGGGGGTTTGGGGGTGTCCCCCCTGACCCCCCCCCGTGTCCGTGTGTCCCCAGGCCAGCCCGTGGGGGGGTTCCAGGCCCCCACCCGTGTGGTCATCGCCCGGCCCTCGGCCCCTCCCCCACGCCCAACCCCCACCCACCCCGGAGCCCCCCAGGCTGGAGCCGGCCCCGTGAGTGGGGGGGAACTGGGAGGGACTGGGAGGGACTGGGGGGGACTGGGGGGAAACTGGGAGGGATTGGGATAAACTGGGAGGGACTGGGAGGGACTGGGAGGGTCCCAGGGTTTGGGGAGGGCTGGGGGAGAGGGGGGAGGGGAGGGACGGACACCCCCCCCCCCCCCCCCAGGCCCCTGGGGGGGCGTCGCTGGCGCAGGTGATCAGCGGGCTGGTGGGACAGCTCCTGATGCAGCCACTGGTGCTGGGTGAGCACTGGGAGGGACTGGGAGGAGCTGGGGGGGCACTGGGATAAACTGGGAGGGGATTGGGAGGGAATGGGAGTGACTGGGGGGGGATTGGGGAGGACTGGGATGGACTGGGAAGGGATTGGGAGGGGATTGGGGGGGAAATGGGGGGGATTGCGAGGGACTGGGAGGGATTGAGGGGGCACTGGGATAAACTGGGAAGGGCTGGGAGGGACTGGGGAGGCACTGG